TCTTCTTCTTCTTCTTCTTCTTCTTTCTCTTCTCTTCTCTGTTCTTCTCTTTTTATCTTTCTTGTTCTTCTTTTCGTGTAAATGTCAGTTGGTGGTTGCTTGGTTATTCAGGTAAAAATAAGATGAAAACCATAATTCGTGTTAACCAAAAGCAAGAAGAAGTTTATCGATAGATAGAGTCAGATAGCTTCCATGTAATAACATGAAGTATATATCATCTCGCTGCTATCAACCACTTACCACCCTCCATCATCATCTTACCTTGTCTTTCTTTTTCTCCTCATCTTCCTCCTTCTTTTCATTATAATTGTAAAAATGAAAAGAAACATGATGACTGTAAGTTGGAAGCAAAAATAAGAAAAGATTATGAAGACACCTTGAATCTCGGCGTAAATCCGGCTTCGTGATTGAGAAGAAATTGATGATGATGATGACCACGGATTGAGGGAGAAAGAAGAGGAAAGAAACTGGAAGACAGAGAGGGAGGTGAGAGGAGGAGGCAGGTAAAGCATGGCCTCAGAACTACCTGGTTACAAGCAACCAAAAGAATGGAGCAAAAAAAGTAGCGAAAAAGAAGAAGCTGCAAGAGATAAAAAAACAAGAAAAAAGACAATTAAAGATGAAAATGATTGAAACCAATGCAAAGTGCAAAGAAATTTCATCGAAGAAGAAAAAATAATCTCAAAAGGTCAATTTCATGGCAATTTAGATTCAAACATCGAAATAAATTAAAGAGAAAAAAATTTCCCCCAAAATTTTCTTTTCCTCAACCAACTTGTCGTTTCCCATAACATGTTGACTCTCTGTAAATCTTTGGTCAAATGTTAAAAGGATTGACCTGCAAATGACCTAATCTTTAACCAAATCCAAGATCACTAGGAGACATTGAAAGCGACTATCATTTTTGCTTTTCTCATAATTCATCGTTTTCATCTTTCTTAATGCTTTTAAGGTTAAACTTTTCTGTTTTCCTTTCACTTCACAAACTTGTTACCTTTCACCTTGTAATGCATAAAAAACACAACATCAATGAGATCATGCAATGATAATCTGGACATTTTACTTGGACAAACCTTTACAATTTCGTGTGTTTTCCTCGTTGTTTTGTCAAACCCAATGTAAGACATTTTTGTGGGTAAACTTGTTTTACAGCCGATTGAACTGCAATGGTTTAGATGAGTAAAGATATACGAAGATGATGGGAATAATGATTATAATGAGAATCAAGATTCGATTATTCTTTCTTTTCTATTCCCTTTTTACCTGTTAATGTAACGCAACAATTTAGATTGGTTAATAGGATTTAAACAGTTGATCATCAAATGAAATTGAAACCTTCAACAATCTTCCTGTTTTCATCTTCTCTTGTTGTTAATCAATTTAACCCGTGGACCACATAACAATGTCCATTTATCATTCCCTTAACAATCACCTTAATCTTCTTGACCCTTTCCATTTTAATCTTTATTGATATCCAAAGGTAAATAGTAAATTGTCAACAAACAGTCAACATTGAAAAGTTGCCTTTCACACACAATGGAACCATCTTTTCACTTTCAGTGTTCAACAGATTCACATGGCAAAGATGATCATGTATCAGCGTCTTTTGCTTATTAAATTGTGATTTTAACCAACAGCAAAAAATTGGATTCATCAACAGTTTTAAGCTTTAAAAAAGCTGAACCAGAAAAGCTAAACTTGCCAATTTGAAACACAATAACAGCTACATTGTAATACATTGGCAACTCAACAATTTACAACAATTAATCCAATTGCAATGTCAATGTAATAAAATAGCAAAAACATTTTCAAAGGTAAATGGAAACATTTCATTTTTCAATTTTTCTCACTTTTTGCTTTCGCTGTAAATCAATGCATTTTCAGTGTCTTTTATTGTCCAGTAGAGACAAAAATTTTGCATAAAATTTTTAATTGATCATTGAATCGTCTTAATTTACCTTATTTCATTTCTCACAATTAGTTGATAACTTAGTCAAGTTTTGTCTCTCTTCTTGTTTCTCAATTTAACCATCATTTCATGCTTCCTTCAGGTAAGGATAAATGCCTCTTTCAAGGTAAGAAACTAGTTTTGCTTGTTAGCAAATTCAATCAAAATTCTGTCTTTTTTTTGCTTCTTTGCCATTTCCATGATCATTACATCAGCAAATCAATGTAATAAACGGCAAACTAGATTTAAAGGTAAAACCAAAGCTTAAAGATGAGAAAAAGTTGCCTTTCAAGTTGTAAAATGCATTAATGTTAATAAATAATATGGAGGCGGTGGTGAGGGTGGAGGAGGTGGAAGAAGCACAGATAAATTGCCGTCAATTTATGACTTGTTTTCACCATGACAGCCTTACAACTCGTGAAGACGAATCTTAAACATTCCAATCTCCTGGAGTTGACCAAAGCAAACTGGTCTAATTTATGTGCATTTTTGGCTTATTTTGCATTATTATTATAACATAACTTAACTTTTCATCATGATTACATTTTAGTGTTTACAACGATATCTACTTGATAACAGGACAATCCATGGTTTGGATTGAAGTCAACAAGTTAAACTTGATTTGATCTTAAAATTGAATGCAAAGTGTTACTGTTGAAAGATGTTGGCTCAACGATTAACAAGCTACAACTTGGCATCAGACAAGCAGACATTATCATAACAGAAATTAAATCGATTGTATAAGTTTACAATAGCAACTATGGATTAAGTTGATCAACATTTCATTTTCAAAATTGACTCAAAGTTTGAATCAAAGGTCGATCACAAACCTTCATTACTAAGGCTATTGCTAAGCAAAATCCTAACCTAACATAACCTAACCTAGCCGACTGACTCTAAGTCACTGGTTGTATTGCAAAGGTTACAATCGATGAAACAAAATGAAAACAATTTTAATAATAAAAATTGATTTAATACCAATAAATATCTTGGAAACATTGAAAAGGATTTATTACAAAACTCATTTGCCAACCCTTTTTCATCAGGTGAATGATGAAAACGATGGTCATTTCATGTTGACGTTGGAAGCCTTTTTGTTTCATCCTACGATTGAATTACCAGTTGAATGTTTCCTTGTTAATGCAACTCGTCAGCACATGAAGGTTAATAAACAAACACAATGCAGCTACTAACCACAGTTATCATAATGATGATCAATGTTAAACCATTTGGCCTGACAAAGCGATAAAAGATGAACTTTTTTCCCTTCTTTCTCTTAAAAATGTTAAAAAAAGTTAACTTACAATGAATCTCTTTTTTTGTTATTTAGTTAATTCAGTTAACCTTTTACCTTGACTTACCCTCACCCCTTGCATCTTACCTATTCACTCTGTTAATTAAGCTACCTTCCATGTAAAGGTATCACTGGACATAAACGAGCTTCCAAAGTAAATGGTCAACTGTTCACTTTGCTTTGCCTTTTTTTAGTTACCACTTACTGGTCACAATTATTGGTCAACTAATATAAGGTAAATGGTCAGCAATGTAACCTTGCTTTTTTTACCTTTTCTTTGCTTCCTTAATCATTTCTCATCGTTCCATCTGATTTACTGTCTACTATTTCACTCACAAAGGTAATAAAAAGAAATCCTTTTCTTGTTCTTGCTTCAATTTTTACCTCTAACCTTTTACCTTTTAACAGATAAACAGTTGTTTTGCAGCTTCTTACAAACGGTCAATGAGTACAGAAAAGACGAAGAAGAAAAAAACTGTCCAGTTAGGCCAAAAGTTGATTATCAATTTAAAGTCAATTAAGATTCGAAGTGAAATAAAGTTTTTAGTTAACCTGTTAAGAAGTACAATAAAAAGGTTTTACCAAATTCCTATTCATTTTCTGATCATTCAATCATACTTTTGATTGAAATAATTACACTTGAATATATTTCCATTGAAAGTCTATTGAACATTTCAATTGAAAAGTTGCATCTAAAAATGTTGTTCAACTTGAAATCACTTAAAGGTCATTGTGAAAATGGTCAAATGGTAAAGCCTAGTTGACATGTTAACGGGTTTACATGGTTAAAGGACATCGTAAAGTGAAGTTAATAGTGCAAAAGTAAATGCAAAAATGTGCTCAACATTGAATAACAAAATGGAAACGAAAAAAAGATTTTCTTTTCTTCAAAAGAATCGTAAAGAATTGGTTATATCATGGTGAACCCTGACCACTACTGTAATATAAATTTAATCAATAACCACGCTCACAACGGGAACCAATTTAATGGTTAAATGTGGCGAAAGCGTTAAACCTTTTCAGCATTAATTGAATTTGTAAAAGTTTTGCAAAGTTTCAAAAGTGGAAGAAAAAAGTTTGCAAAAATTTTCAAGAAAAAAAACTTGAAATTGAAGCAAAAATTTTCTCAATCAAGATCAAAGTGGAAAAATTTGATGCACAAAACGATCTTTTGATGGACAAATATGAAACTTTTGCGTTCTTCCAAACTTCAAACGAATCAGCAAATGTGTATAATTAGCAAATGATTAAAGTTGATTAATATTTTCAATGTTTGTTTGAGAGAATAATTTGTGAATAATTTTCAGGGAATTTTAAAGTTACCTTTTAGAGGTAAATTGTTTGACAGGTTATAAAAGTCTGCCTAAAGTTGGTAAAAGTTTCAAGTGAAGTTGGGAATGAAAACGTTGCAAGATGACCATGAAGATGATGATGATATTTTATAGGCTCTTTGGGAGTCTCATGAGGAGGAGGTTAAGGTACATGATTTAAGGAAGATCCGTTTATTTTTTTCTCTTCTTCTTCTTCTTCTTCTTTTGTTGTTTGAAATGTTTAACTTGTTTGTGAAAGTTACACTTGTTACTTATTGTTTACCTGAGTTTACCTTTTGGCGCTTGTTCCTCTCATTGTTGCTACTGTCATTCCCATTGTAAACAAGATTGTTTCCAGTTTTTATTGTTGACGGCTTCTTCTATATCATTATCAAATCATCGATTCACAATTAAAATCAAATCAATAATCAATTTCGTAGTCGCAAGATTTTTGAGTAAATTTTTCTTTCTCTTTTAGCTCAACACAATACAATACAACGAGTGTTTAATCAAGTGCAATTACAATTGTTACATTGTGATTGATATACATGAGGCAAAATTGTTGATCAATAATGATTCTTGATTGTTGGTCTTTGATACAATTTTACAAGTAAATTTGGTTGAACAACAGAAGAGAGAAAAATATTTAGGTTTTGCTCAATTGAAAGCTGTTACATTGTTAATTTACATTAGTCAATTAAAAGTGACAAAAATGGTTAATTACAATTAAGGGATTGAGGCTTAAAGGGGTTCATCATTGGCACATTTGTTTCAAATGATTTGAGTTGATCCAAGTCTAAGCAAATCTTAGGCTCTGGTTGTCATTGTTGTGGTGCAAGACAGTCAACTCGATGGGATTGAATCAACCTAACCAAGTGGGCTTTACGCTCACACAAGTTGATCATTTGTTGCCCTTGAACATCACATTATTACATTGAACATTACATAGACACCTACGAAGTAACCTTAATCACTTGAGATCACATATTGTGTTTAATCAACTTTTGCAACTTTAATTGTTGCAAAAGAAAAGTTTAAGAGTTTATTGTCTAACCATTGTGACGAGTTGATTGTAAATTTGGCCGATTTGGAATGTTAATTATCATAAGTTGGGATTAAGGCCGATTGGGAATGTTGGAGTTATTACTTTTTTTATGTTTTTTTCTGGTCTCTCGTCAATATTAACAATATCAATAAGGCAAATTTGTTTTGGATTTTTGTTTGTTTCTTTAATAATTTAACTTTTGGTGGGAAAAGGGTTGATGGGTTAATTGGTGGATTGGTCAACATTGAGTTACTAGGTTTATGGTCACAAGTGTGAGACCATGAAATGTTATTTACAGGTGATTGGTGGTTCAAATAAATATGTTGATTTGATATCACAATGAGGAGAAAGGGAATGAGGAGAAATTGAAAATAAATAAAAATGTCGAAAATTGTTTTCATGGGAATAAATTTTGGTCCAATTAAAAGTCCAGATTTTTTACGTTATTCAATATTAATAAATTAAAATTAACAATTAACTATAATACATTATTTATATATAAATAAATATCATTATTTAAGATGGAAAGTGAAAATTTGGCAAATGAGGAATCGTGAAATGACATTTTATAAGGCGATTGAGAAGAGGTAGGAGATGATGATGAGGATGATGAAGGTGGAAAATGGAAGATTAACTAGAATTTTGAGGAAAAAAAAGATTGGAATTGAAAGGTGAAGAAGAGAAAAATTTGTTGTCTTTGAGGTGTTCAATTGTGTTCACCCTTGATTTGCTCCTCCAGTGAGTATTGAAGATGTTGACGAGGAAGATGAAGATGAAGATGATCCAGTTGATGGGCCGGTGACTCCAGTTAGTAGGGATGATACTTTAGCTGCATGCTCTTCATAGGAAGATGAACTATCAGGAAGTTCATAGCCTCTTGAATGAGTCCTGAGATGCCTGGTGATCATGTCACGGCGACAAGCAGCATACGGACAGTGGGGACACTTGTAGGGCTTTTCACCGGTATGGGTCCTTTGATGGGTTGATAGGTGATCCGAGCGGCTAAATACTTGGCCACAGGTTCGACATTTGTAGGGTTTAAGGCCAGTGTGTCGCCTCATGTGACGAGTCAACATATCACTTCGAGCAAAGGGTTGCTTACAAACACCGCAAACATAATTTTTGGTTGTATTGTTATTGTTATTATTGGTGCCGGTGGTTGTGGTACTTGTTAGGTTGGAGGTTGTTGAAGCATTGTTTGAGGTTGACGATGAGGATGAGGTTGAGGTTGTTGTATCGGTTGAACCAGATGAGGTTAACTTGTCTCGACGAGAAGTGACTGTTTGATAGTGTAATGAACGATGTTTACAGGCAATGTGTTTGGCTAGTCTGTCGTGAAGGGCAAAGGTTTGCTTACAAATTGGACAAATGTAAACTGCTTGACCATTAACGGTTACACTCTTGTGACTTGATGTGTTATAAACAGTGTTGTTGTTGGTTGTTGTGATGCTTTTATTACTATTAATTAGATTATTACTTTTACTCTTGTTATTGTTGGCTTCCAATTCAATGTTCAATCGGGAACGATGAACACTTTTAGCTTTGTGCAGATGAGCATATTTTGAGGTTCCAGTTGATGTTAGAGTTGTTATTGTTGTTGCAGTTGATGAGGATGATGAGGTTGCTGTTGACAGGGAAGATGATGGTGTAGTTGATGGTGAGGTTAATGAAGTTGCTAATGAAGTTGGTAGGTTGGTTGGAGTTGAGCTTGAGTTTGATAGTGAACTTGGTAGTGAGGTTGATATTGAGAGTAGTGTTGTTGGTGAAGCTGTGGTTGGACTGGAGTTTGTGCTGGTTGAGGTTGAGGTTGGCGGTGATTTACTTGATTTCACTATCAACTGAAGAGGTGCAACTAGAGCGGTTGGTGTTGTTGTCGGTGAAGATGAGGTTGAATTGGTTGACAGGGAAGATGAGGTAAGCGAGGATCGAATGGACAAATCAAGGGGAAAATCTTGAGGTGTTGATGCAACCGGTGACAATTTCATTGGTGATTCCGAGATGAACTGGTAAAATTTAACCAAAGGTAATCCCAGGTCAGAGAAGTTTCTATGATGGTCAGTAAGTGAATGATGATGGACATTGGTGTGATGGTGTATCGGTGAGGTATGATGGTGATGATGGTGATGATGATGATGGAAAGGGATTGGAGTAATGCTAAGTATGTTGGGTATCATCACAGAAACAAGATGAACAAGTTAGAAGAAGAAAAAAGAGAAATTTCGAACAATTAATTAAAGAAGATTGAAAGAACGATGATAATCAAGATGATGATCAAGTAAAGGTTGACAAAATAAAATCTTGTTGCTCGTAAGACGAAGAAACGAGAAATAACCAAAAAAAAGAAACAAAAGTTACACTTGAAATTATGTTTGAATGTAAAATGAAAGCAAAAAATAAATACAAAAAAAAGTAAAATGAGAAACCCGATTGAACGCAAAGTCGATGCAAGATTGAGGTAAACTACAAATTTTAACTCGTATTTTTATCCTACACCTTAACCTATCCCACTCTCACTCTCCCTCCACTCACTCACTAGCTTCTTACTTGACTCTCTTGAACAACTTTAAGATGATGAAGATGAAGATGAGGGAAGAAAAGTTGCTTCTAAACGCCATCTTTCGGTTTACTTGGTACGTTTCCCAGTCTCACCTTGCAACTGTACTGTTAGTGAACGTTACCTGCCTTCATAGGAAGAGGGTTGGGTGGAGAGGGACGAGTCATCTAGGTAAAGGTGCAAGTGAAACAAAGCCATCAACGGAAATGTTGAGCTAACCATTGTTCACAGGTATACGTGCTTGATGGAAGGTGAAGTAAAATTTGGATAAAATTAAAATTAAATTCACATGATGAAAGAAACTTGAAATTCAGAGACAATTTAAAATCTAGTCTGATTAAGTGATCATTTGAAACTCATCGAGACTCGGGGTTATAAAGTGAGGCTGATAAAATATCGAAATTAACTGTTTTCTTCTGCAAATAGCTTTAGGTATAAGAAGATTTGCTCTGAATTAGAGTCGAAATTTCTTGAGATTTAATTAAATTTGGAAGGATCACTCTGAGAGAAAAGGTTTTTAAGAAGTGAAAATTAGTTTCTGCAATTTTCTAATCAAAAATTGCCTTTAAATCAAAATAATCGGAATCGTTATTTGTTAGACTTTCATGTTTCACCGAATGCTAACGATTACAACTTTGAATTGTATAATTTAGGTTCAATCACTGAGAAACTTGGTTTTCATTTTCCTCCATTTTTAACTGTCCGAGAACAATAATCTCACTAATAGCGATGTCAGACTTCGTTTCGTTGTCTTTAAAAATAGTTGCATTTTTAGTTGAGTTGAGAATCTTAATTTGCAATAATCTTGAGCTTATGGTGTTTAGATGATTTAATTGCGAATGAATTTGATATGACTTTGCAAAGGATCAAGTTTTGGTGCAACTTGAGTTCAATGGCAATGTTAACGAAAAGAAGCTTCAGTTGATTTGTGAAAAGGTTATTTGGGTATAAAGGTCACTTTGATTTGCTAATAAATTGCATTCTATTCAAAACCATTGAGAATGAGTAATGACCACAGCTAAATTAGATACACGAAATGCGTGTTTCCACGAATATTGAACTTTTTCTAAACCAATCGTTGAAAAAAATCGATAAAAATTTCGAACAAAATGAATCTTTCTTTGATCATTTATCTTTTCATTTTACAACACTTTCAATTTGCTATTTTTAAACTGTATATTGATCGACACAAGTCTTAGCTAATTAGAACTAAATTTTAATTGCAAATTGATTGACTATTTTTAAATCAAATACTTATCCACTTTCAAGCACTTCAATGGTTCATCTGAAAATCGTAGATTGCGTTCAAACACAAAAATAAAAACGTAAAAACAGATTCTTTAAAACAAAACAAAATCAACTTTTGCAATTTCAACTCAAAATTTAAATTGAATCAAATATTACTCACCTTTCGAGATGATTAACTTGATTACTTGTTAAATGTTTAAAATGGTCATTTCGAATCCTTAACTTACTCAACTCTTCATCCTCCATAGGCTTGGATAACATTGGCTTCAAAGGTAAAGATGGTGAGAGTAATAACGAAAGTAACATTAACAGCAAAATTGAAGCGAAATTGAAACAAAATTAAAAAATTGTTCAATGTTCAACTTTTCCTTTTCCACCGGCGAACCAAGAATAATTGAAAAAAATATTGAAACGTTTAAATTGGATAACATTGGCACATTGAAGTAAACAATTGACGAGGAAAAGGAAAGTCGAGAAAAACAAGTTTAGTTGATGGAGTGAAAAAGGTTTGATAAATAATATCGTAGTTGGTAAACAGTTTGAGCTTATATTAGAGTTGCTCTAATGTTAACTTTGGTTGAATAACTTTACCTCCCAAGAGTGAGGGAGGAGTGGGAGGAGATTATCACAGAGAGAGAGAGAGAGTTAGAGTGAGATTCAAGGCCGTCTCTCGACCTTGAACTTGAAGAATGATAAAGTTCTGTAATAATAATGATGGCCAAATGAGTTGATGTCGTCAACAGAACATTTTTCCTGCAAACTGTTTCGTTCTTGTCCAAGTTGTTTACCGCAGATGATGAGCTCGAGAAGAGGCGAAAAGAGAAACAAAAAGGATAAAAATTGAGATTCTTCCATCAGAATTGAAGATTGCTCATTTGATTATCATTCAGTATTGATGGAAACCTGAGCGTGCAAAGAAGAAACTCGAAGCAAAAGAACAAAAGAGTTTACAGATTTTTTCTTCTTCTTCTTTCAATTTAAGTTTTTTGCTTCAGCTTTAACCTTCTCAAGACTCAAAAATTGTTCTCACCCTTTACCATGTTCATCATCTTTTATCATCATCCTTGTTGTTCAGTTGAGATGGGAGTAGGTTCCATGGATGAGGATTACCATGGTGATGAAGAAAATAACTGATGACGCAAATTCTTTTCTGGTTGCTATTGTAATTGGGCCTTGAAACATCCTTGAGATTCAGGAATCCCCAGGAGCTACTTTGCTTCTCTCTCATGTTCATCCTTCTCTTTCTCTCTTTACCCTGCAAAGTTCACTGTCAAGGATGCACAACAACAGACACTAACAGGGAGTGAGAACTGATAACACGGCGCAAGGCTTATCTCACTCCCAGATGATTTTGCTTCTTGAAACATTTCTCTTTCTCTTTTCCTTCTCCTCTCATCTTTCACCTTTTTATATCAACAAGAGTTCTGGGCTGAGATACCTCAACATTCACCAAGATATCTGTCATCTTCAACCAGTTCAGACTCCCTTTCAGTATTGATCGATAAACAGTAAATTTCCAATGAACAATATTCAATCTTTTCCTTTTCCATCTTCACTTCATCTTCTATTATTTATATACATTTTACTGTTGAGGGAGTGAAAAAGGATGAAGACGTAAACGATGAAAACCAAGGCAAAAGAACCTTGGACAAGGACATTAACAAATCAAGTTCATCTTCAATCTCAGTCTCAATGAATCAATAAACCCTGAAACCTGGAAATGAAAGCACAAAGTTCAATTTTAATTGGAATCAAACTAAAACTATTGAAAATTATTTTTCCAGGGCAAAAAAAGAAAAGAATTTGCAAATTTTTCCAATCATGAAAATCTCTTTTAACCAATTCTCTTAATGGATTGACAATGAACCACTCAGGAATTGTGAATATTATTATCAACAGATAAATTTCCAGGGCAAGTTAACATTTTTATAAATCATCGCCAAATGTTGAACAATGTTAAACAATGGAAAGGTCAAAGTTACCTTTTTACATGCATTTTCAACAGGGAATGATGACTTGAAATTACCTTTCATTATATCATCTCTTTACCATTGAATAATTCCCAGTCCAGAATTATGATAAGAACAGATTCCCTGAGAGTGAGTTTTCAATTCCCTGGATAAAGTTGAGCCAGAAAAAAAAGATAAAGAAAAGGGAAAAAAGGAAAAGAAGAAAAGAAGTGAATCCAATTAGAATGGGCAAAATCAGGGAAAATAACCTTTAAACTGTTGATTTGTTTTCCCAATCACAATAATTAATATCGAGGTAAACATATTAAATTGCGATTAAAATTGAGACTTTTGTTCAGACTCTACATGATGTTCACATGTTTATCAATTTCATTTTGAAAATCTTAAGGTTCCTGGTAACCTTTACCAAAGTTACGTTGGCGTGTAAATCAGGAGACATTAAACATTTAATTTGCTGTTTAACCATACAATGTTGATGCTGTTTAATTTCAGGAAAACAGGTAAACATGTTGATTGAAACATTCAGATTCAACTTTAACATTTTTCATGTCAAATAATTATTGGCGTAACAAGATGAAAACAATTGAAATGTCAATGAATCATTTGATGAAACTTTATTTTTTGTAAAATGTTCAATTTCTCATTCGATAAAAGGAACGTCTCATTTTGTCAGTAATTCATTTAATTATTACATTGGTTAATGTTCACTTTCCGGTGTTTAATTGATGAAAAGGTGTGCATATTGGTTAATGGTTTGGTGATTTACCTGATCGTGAAGATGATTAACAGTCAAATTACTTTGTTCATCTTTTCAATTTTAATGCCTTTTCCTTTGTTCTTAACCATTGGCAATCATTATTGTATCCGGTCAGAGGTTAGTTTCATTGGGTCACGATCATCATCCTCCCTCTTCATCTTTAATGTTCACATGATGAAGGTGGTACTCATCCTCATAATCATCGTCTTGACGCAATTTTCCCACAAAAAACAGTTTAAAATCTGATTTGTTTTCTTATTGTTTAATCGTGTTTTGTTTCTCGTTGTTTATTTATTCATTTTCCGGTTAAGATATTAAGATAATCAGTCGATTTAATAACCAAATAAATCAAAATTGATTACAATTGTAAAATAAATGTTTCCTTAAGATTTAAAGACCGATCTGTTGTCCAATTTACTCTCGTTTCTCAATGTTTACAAAGCTGTTAAATCGATGTGGCTATCGAGTTGTTTAGGTTACTGTATCATTTGTTATTAACTAATGAGAATCGGAGTTCATCACAAATCGCTTTGTTTTACTAATTTGATTTTCGATCAACATTTCATCTTCAATTGTCCAGTTGATCTGATCGACTGAAAGTCATTGACAGTTAGTCTAGTTTCTAGTTCATTTCGTTTTAATGTAAAGGGAAAAACTCGCAATTCTGGCGTTAAAAGTTATAATAGTTTCGGATTTGCTTTTTAAATTGGCTCTTAAATGTTGAATGTGAATTAAATGATCATTTGCATTATTATTGAGACAAACCACCGTAGTTAAAGTGATCTTGTTGGTTTAACGGTTTGATCTTCGAATGTTATTCGATATTTTGATTAAACTCTTCACTCTTTGATGAACATTTCATTGGCCCAATGTTACGACAAAAGGGTCATTTTGAACGATCCAAGTAAACTTTATGGTTTATTTAGGAATGAGTTTTGGGATTTAATTGGTTATTTTTGTATTATTATTAACGTGAAAGAGCAACAAAAATATCGAAGTTTAAATTGATTCCTTTGATTATTTAAATTGATTTAATTGTAATAAACCATTTTCATATTTTACTTAAAGTTGGACTAGAATGAAAATTTATTGTCATACAAAGAAAAGCAATTATTTGTGACCTGTGAACCCATTTGATTGTACCCAATTGACCTGCAATGTTTAAATGGACAATTTACAGTGGAATGACTAACCTATTACCGTTAACACAATGACCTTGGTTACCTTTTAACCGGCAAACCTAAAAGATGACAAACAATGACCTAACCTTGTTTTCCTCATTTGGATACAATTGATATCCATTAACATATTACTTCAAGACTCAACAAAATTCAGGTTACTCTTAAAGTCTATTAAAATGGAAGCGCATAATATCATTGTATTTTCATCGATTCAAGGTGCGTCCCTGTTGGACCAAAAAGATTTCCGAATAAAATACCTTTGCAACAAATGCACCAACAAAGCCTGGGTGACACACCAAAGACTTGGCAACTTAACGGTTAAAGCGACACCAACAACAACAAGAAAACAAATTTCACTGTAAAGTCAAAGATAAAGCCAACCTAAGACATTAACTTGACCTGGAAGATGTGAGTTGTAGCATTAAAGGTTGACTCTGAATGGCTTACAGTAACAGGTCGGTAGAGACATTTGTATAAGGTGTGTCCTTAAGATGATCATCGTTATTAGAGGGACACTTTTGGGGGGTGAAGATGAATGAGTGGGGAGAGGGAGGGAAGAGGGTGAATTGTTGGAGAAGATGAAGAAGAAGAAGAAAGAAATAAACTTTTCTCTTCTTATTGTTGAAGATAAATGTAAATCACACCTTTTTTTGGCCGTTGCACCATTTAAGAGTAAAAATAGTGAGTTTCGTTTTTTCTTATTTCTCTTCTTCTTCTTCTTCTTCTTTGGGAACAAAAATAAGACACAAAAAGACTCTTTCATCTTCACTCTCACTCTTCACATCTTATGTTATTTCCTTTCATATACTTGGGTTGGGCTCAGGTCTCTTTACCTGAACCAGGCCCTTCTTTGTGCTCACCTCAGTATCGTGCAAGGTGAATATGCTACTGTTTACTTGTTAACGGAACATTATCATCCATCTTAAGACTATTCAAATTTCACATCACCCTCTCCCTCCCTCCCTTTATCTTCTCCTTCTTATCTTCTCTTTCCTTTCATCATTATTATAATATTTACCGTTCCACTATCGTTACAGCATCAGATCTAACAATTGACGGAAACTTGACTCTACTAACACAGAATCAACTCCATTATTGGTCAGAATGTTAGATTTTTGATAAGAGAAGCTTTTGAATGCTTTTTAAAAGAAATAACAGAATTATCGAAGCAGCCATGAAATGCATATTTATCTCCAATCAACAAGAATTATGAACTTACGTGTTCCCTTTCTTCGTTTCATTCCAATCAGAGTAAAAATAAGAAAATCTCTTGAATGTTCTTGGAATATTTCATTCGCCCATTTGATTGATTGTTTACAAAAATTCTGGTAACTTTTATTCCAATTGCATTCTCAATGCAATTCATTTTGCCAATCCATTGAAGCAGTTTCATTGCAAAGTTTAAAAGTCATCCAAAGAGTCAATCCATTTTGTGAAGACTTAAATTCAGATAAACTTAAATAGATCGTTAAGATGTACAAATAAAGCTTTTGCTTGCTATTAAAAAAAGGATCGAAAGATGATTTCATCGCAAAAATGTTGAAACGCTGCACAATAATTCGCTACATTCAGTGTTCTAATTAAATCAAAAGCATTATTATTTTGCTATTATTTGACGATGAACCACAACTGAGAATTGGGTTGAACAATTAAAACTGAAAACACAGTTTAAAGGCTTATACTAATGTAAGGGCAATGGAAAGAAACAATCGTCAATGATCAATATCAAGCATCTAAAATTTTACTATCATTTAACTCATTCAACCCAAAGTTTGAGCATTTCAAGCAAAAATTACAAACTGAATGTTCAATTATACGAACCAAATAACAAAGTACACAGCTTAACGTAATATAAGTTGATACATTTGCTGATAATTTAGTTTTATATAAAATATAAAGTCAAAAAATCAAATTTTGTTCTAAATTGAGGCTAAATTGGAAGGATTCAAAGAACAATTTTTACGCAGTCTGAAAGCTATGATTGAACTAAATGTCTCAGGAATAATCACAGCTTAATCAAAATGCAGTTTACTGAG